GTGCAAATAATCTGAGAAGCTGGACTATATGAAGAAGAATGTGACATCAGGATTGGAGGAAGACTCATTAACAACCTGTGATATGCAGATGACACAACTTTGCTTGCTGAAAGCGAAGAGGACTTGAAGCACTTGCTGATGAAGATCAAAGACTATAGCCTTCAGTATGGATTATACCTCAACATAAAGAAGACAAAAATCCTCACAATTGGACCAATAAACAACATCATGATAAACGGAGAAAAGATTGAAGTTGTCAAGAATTTCATTTTACTTGGATCCATAATCAACGCCCACAGAACTAGTAGTCAGGAAATCAAACCACATATTGCTTTGGCCAAATCTGCTGCAAAAGACCTTGTTAAAGTATTCAAAAAGCAAAGGTGTCACCTTGAATACTAATGTGCACCTGACCCAAGCCATGGTGTTTTCAATCACCTCCTAAGCATGTGAAAGTTGGACAATGAATAAGGAAGACCAAAGAAGAACTGATGCCTTTGAATTATGGTACTGGAGAAAAATACTGAATATCCCAGAGACTGTCAGAAGAACAAACAAATCTGTCGTGGAAGAAGTACAGCCAGAATGTTCCTTAGAAGCAAGGACGGTGAGACTTCATCTCACGTACTTTGGACATGTTATGTGGTGGAACCAGTCCCTGGAGAAGGACATCATGCTTGGTAAAGTAGAGGGTCAGTGAAAGAGAGGAAGACCCTCAAGGAGATGGACTGACACAGTGGCTACAATAATGGCTCAAGCATAACAACAACTGAAAGGATGGCGCAGGACCAGGCAGTGTTTCGTTCTGTTGTACATAGGGTTGCTATGAGTCGGAACTGACTGGATGGCACCTAACAACAACAACAACATGTGGGCCAGTGAAAAGCCCTAAACAGGTCATATAGAAGATCACAAGTACTGTTAGAAGAAAACATAGAAACTTGTCGACTAGAATTATTGGCAACTGCAACCTAGCCCTGCGTTCTTTTCACTAATTCCTGTACTCAATATCAGTGGTCTCCCTTGTCAATCCCCAACATTTATCAATCTCAGACCTCCTTTGATTTCCTTAAGACATCTAGTTATTTTTTCCTCCTTGCCAAAGAAAGCAAATTGCTCTCCACTTGCACATTACCCAGAAGACTGAGATAAAAAATGATTAGCTTTCTTAAAAGTCTTTATCTTTATTTCAATGTACTATTAACACAATGGAAACCCTGGTGGCGTATTGGTTAAGTGCTACAGCTGCTAACCAAAAGGTCGGCAGTTCGAATCCACCAGGTGCTCCTTAGAAACTCTATGGGGCAGTTTTACTCTGTCCTATAGGGTCGCTATGAGTCAGAATTGACTAGACGGCAGTGGGTTTGGGTTTTTCTTTTTTTGAGTTTATTAACACAATATCTTCTCGTCTTTACTTCCAATATCAGGGGGAGTTCTATGTTTTTTTTAAAAAAAAAAAAAAAAAAAAGAAACTTTCTAAAAACATTTTCTCTCTAACCTCCTGCAATTGTCTAAGGCCTGTACCAAACTCAATGACACCTCTGAGAATCCAGGCCTCTGTCACCAACACCCAGCTTTTTAACCCCTGGAGTGCAATATCTCCAATTGCAATCTATAGCAGCAGTTAACAACCACTTAAAGTGCATTTACTATGGGTCAGGTGCTGTGCAAAGGGCCTTAAAAACACAACCTATTTTAATTCTTATCTCTATTTTTCAGATAAGGAAATTAAAGCTAAAGAATACGACCCTTTTCTAAACAGATTAGCTACTTGTTAGGTGGGATGGTAAGCAAACTCACTAATTAAATTGTTATTTTTTCCTCTCTGTTATTTTGGGGGGCCAAGTAGACAGTGGAATTCTCCTAATTAAATCTAAGAATGATGTTAAGTCCACTATACGCTCAAGACAGCACCGTGGAAGTACAAAGGAAATACAGGAGAGGGACGTGTTAGGGTGGCAAGGCAGGGTCAGAGAGGGTTTCCAGGAGTTTGTGAAGCCAGATTCAGCAAACTAGAAACCCAATGGGTAGGTAGAACGGGGCTGAAGAAAAAACATGTGCAAAGGCATGACATGAAAAAATAGAGCAGAAGGAAACTGAGAAGGCTGGTACTTCCAGAGTGGAGAACCCCCGCTGATATAACAAGAGATAAGTCTGGAAAAGTAGGGAAGAACCAGATCGTGAGAGACATCGACATCGTGCACTATACTAAGGTGTCTGACATTTACCTGAAAGGCAAGGGGAACCCTGAAGGACTTACACAGAAGATAGTAGTGTTTTCAGATATGTGATTAGAATATGTCATTTCAGGTATTTTGCAATAGTGGGTATAGATTTTGTAGATTTTCCACTCATGCTACCTGATTCCTTTTGTAACTAAAACATGTATATAATTCTATTTGAGACATACCTCTTTCCCAAACAACACAATCACAATCACCCATCAAATAGTCTTCCTATTTTCTTTCTCCAATGCATGTCCCTTATCTCTTTTTAACTGAGAAAAAAAGTCTTCATCATCTTTTGTAGCTTTCAGATACAAAAAAAACATTGAACCTGTTGCCGTAGAGTCAATTCTGACTCATAGTAATAAACTATCAGTTTTCCCTTAATATTCCCTACGTGTTCTTCAGTGTTTCTATTTTTATGTTTTGAACTCCAAGTATTCTCTATCTTTCAAGCTAAGGGACTCAGAAACTAACAAAGTACACAATGACCAGTATTAAATTCACTGAGCTCAAATGATAGCACAGTTAATGCCTCCAACTCTGTAAGAAAGAAAAGTTTTGCTTTGTTTACATACTTAATAATCTCTCCATATTCATCCCACTTAATTCTTTCTTCTGGGGCAGGAAACATAGGATAAGACTTTTTAGCCTGTTTGAAGAAACTTCCTTTCCGACTCCCTTCACCTTTCATCATCAGGTCATGCTTAGTCTTATGAGCCGAGGGCTGGTCAATATCTTCCTCGACATCGCTCTCATCACTGGAATCTATATCTGCCCTGAGAGGATTTCAAAATAGATGATGGTCGTAAAATCCCAAAGAGATCTTGAGTTAATATTTATAAAATTATTTTTAATTAATGATCGATAGTATCTAATATTAATTTAATGATAATACAATAATATTCAATGTTAGATTGGTATTTTATAAAACATAACATTAACTGCCAGTTGATAAAATACATAATAATGAAAGAATTTGGTATTCTAGCATCATTTGAAAGATATCTTTCATAACAAAAATAATGAAGTCAAAAGCAAATGTAAATATTTTCAATTAGGTTACTTCTAAGTATTAGAAATAAATTCTTCTCAAATTACATATATGAACTTATAGTCTGTTTGAAAATAACGTACTCTTTTGACTGTTCAAGTTTTTTAGCAGCCTCTTTCTTTAGCTTCTCTTTTTCCAAGTATTCCTCAAGTTCCTTCCCTTCAAGTTTCACACGTTTCCGCAACTAAAGAAAAAGAGCAGACAAAAGGAAACATCAATATTAGTGGGTTAAGGTGGTGGGGTGTGAGATACATCACATTTCTAAATTGATTCATCATCTTTAAACTAAATTTTCCTCTGAAATGATTTAAGTTTCCATTATATGCAATTATAGACCCTATTTAGATGAGTACTAAAATTAAGCTGTCACATTTCTAGGATGGGTTTAATTTAAATCAAGCTGGTTAAAAATCATTCGTCAATTAGAAAAAGAAAATACAGGTAAATATAATTTGGAGTATGTGAGGCCTACATACGACATGAATTCCAAAAGGAAAAAATGAATAAATATGGCAATATGAAGAAAACAGAAATCTGTCTGGTGTTTTAGATCTCATAAAATCAAAAGAAACTGAGAAAACAATTTGCAGCACTCTGACTATCAGAAGCCACTTCTTCCTCAGTGCTCCTCAAATCTGTTAAGAAAAAGATAGTCAACACATTAAAAAGGACAAAATACATATAGGCAATTTACAAAATGAGAAATACAAATAGCTAAAAGCCATGAAAAGATGTCTAATTACACTAATGGTTTTGAAAAATGTAAAATTTAGAAATGTAATATCAAAAAACACTAAACAGACTTTAGATAAGTGGTAACTTCGGTGAAGGGTAAGACAGTACACAATACTGGGAAGCCAGCACAACTCGTCCAAGGCAAGGTCACAGAGGCTCCACAGACACATCCAAATTCCCTGAGGGACCAAATTACTGGGCTGAGGGCTGTGGGGACTATGGTCTAGGGGAACATCTAGCTCAACTGGCATAATATAGTTTATAAAGAAAATGTTCTGCATTCTATTTTGGTGAGTAGTGTCTGGGGTCTTAAAAGCTTGTGAGCATCCATCTAAGATACTCTGCTGGTCTTACCCCATCTGGAGCAAAGGAGAATGAAGAAGAAAACCAAAGACACAAGGGAAAGATTAGTCCAAAGGACTAATGGACCACAAGTACCACAGCCTCCAGCAGAATGAGTCCAGCCCAACTAGATGGTGCCCGGCTACCACTACCGACTGCTCTGACAGGGATCACAATAGAGGGTCCTGGACAGGGCTGGAGAAAGACATAGAACAAAATTCTAACTCACAAAAAAAAAAAAAAAAAAGACCAGACTAACTGGTCTGACAGAGCCTGGAGAAACCCCAAGAATATGGCCCCCAGACACCCTTATAGCTTAATAATGAAGTCACTCCTGAGGTTCCCCCTTCAGCCAAAGACTAGACAGGCCCATAAAACAAAACAAGACTAAATGGGCACACCAGCCCAGGGGCAAGGACGAGAAGGCAGGAGGGGACAGGAAAGCTGGTAATGGGGAGCCCAAGGTCGAGAAGGGGAGAGTGTTGACATGTCATAGGGTTGGCAACCAATGTCACAAACCAATATGTGTATTAATTGTTTAATGAGAAGCTAGTTTGCTCTGCAAACCTCCATCTAAAGTACAATAAAAAAAAAAAAGTAATACCATCTTTTACCTATGGGATCGGCAGTGCTAATTATCATATGGGGAAAGGGTGCCTTCATCCACTGTCTATGGGAAAATTGGCTCAACTATGTTAGAGAAATATTTGCCAAGATTTAAAAGAAAAATGTGCTTATCATTTGACACACCATTTCTACTTCTAGGAATATATCCTACTGAAATAATCATAGTGTGGAAAGAAAAAAAAACCTGCGTTGCAGTAATGTTTGCAATAGTGAAAAACTTGATCAAAAAACCAAACTCACTGCCGTTGAGTTGATTCCGACTCATAGCGACCCTAGAGGACAGAGTAGATAGAACTGTCCCATAGGGTTTACAAGGCTGTGATCTTATGGAAGCAGATGGCCACATCTTTCTCCCATGGAGCAACTGTTAGGTTCAAACCACCAACCTTTGGGTTAGCAGCCAAGCGCTTCAACCACTGCACCACTAGGGCTCCTGAAAAACTGGACACCACTTTAAAATCCATCAACATGTAATAATTAAATCAGTGGTTCTCAAACTTTTTGATCTCAGGACTGCTTTTGACTCTTAAAACTACTGAGAATCCCAAAGAGCTTTTGTTTTGCAGTGGGTGATATTTATCGATATTTATCATATCAGAAATTAAAACTGAGAAATTTTTAAATATGTATTTATTTTTAAAAAATAAAGCCATTACATACTAATATTAACATCATATTTTTATGAAAAATAACTATTTTTCAAAGCAAAAAAAAATAGTGGAAAGTATGGCACTGTTTTACATTTTTGCAAATCTCTTTAGAAGAGAAGACAGTTGGATACTCATATCTGCTTCTGCATTTAATCTCTTGGAATATGATGTTTTGGTTAAAGTATATGAAGACAATCCAGGCTCACACAAATGTGTACTTGGGAAAGATAAAAGTATTTTATAGCCTTTACAGATAATTATAGATACTCTTCTTTGACACTACATCAAAACTCAAAAAGTAGCTGTTTTATAAAGATTCGTTGTAATGTGGAATCTGAAACCATATCGATAAACTTTCTGTACTCTGTTACACTGAAATGCACTGACCTATCTTACATTTTGAATGGATCTTTTTTATTCATGCATTATTTTGTAATATCATGCTTTGGTTATTTGGAAAATATGGTTTATTAAGTTATGCAGATCTTTTAAATGTTGACAATATAAAAAGAGTCATATGCACAAATTATCACCATTGATTTCAAGTAAAATGGTGTTCTAAGAAAAAAGTGGTTAGTTTAGCTTGTACAGTAACCTCAAGACAACCATCATGCTTCAGTATGCAACAGAAACGCTTAACGGATACTTTCCATTTGTCACCTAGATAAAATAACTTTCGTTAAAGGATATAATAAAATTAACAACTTTTACTGTTGCACAAAGGACATTTTTAATTGAAACTGATTTTTTTTGAAAATGCAATGACTAGTAGTACAGTTTCATGCTGCTGCCTTGATTTACTCTAAGGCACCAGCACTTTTCCCACCGTTGCTTCTGCTCGTCAGTGTAAATGTCAGCATAGTAAAAAAGGCAAAGCTCATTATTCTTACTATTAAGAAAAATAATTTTGACCTCATGGGATCCCTGAAAGGATCCCAAGGACCCCGGGGGTCCTCATACCATACTTTGAGACCCACTGGATTAAATAAATCACAGTACTCATATGCAGTGTACTATCATAAAATTACTAAAAAGAATTAAAAAATATCTGAGTGTTTATAATATACTAAGTACTATGTAAATCAGTCTATAGGTTAGGCTATAGGGTCACTATGAGTCGGAATCAACTCGATAGCAATGGTTTTTTTTTTTAATGTAAATTAGATCTATATCTAGCTACACTGTTCGAGAAAGACTCAAATGAAAAAAGCTTCAGAATATGTGAGTAATTTGGTCCCATTTAAAAAAAAAAAAATTATCAATATTTGTATATAGATAGAAAAAAACCCAGAACATGTAAGCTTCAATGTTAACAGTCATGACAACTAAATGTAATGTATAACTCTGGACGAAATCCCGAAAAAAAAAAAGGAAAGGGTAATTATAAAGGACATTTTTGGAATAACGAGAAAGAGCTGAATGGGATCTATGGATTAAATGGTAGTATGGTATCAATGTTTATTTCATGATTTTGATGGCTATACAGTGGTTTTGTAGACTGTCCTTGTGTTTAGGTAATATATATTGTAGTATTTAAGAGTAATGAAGTATTATATTTACAATATACTGTCAAATGGTTTAGAAAAAAGTATCTAATATTGTATCTATGTATATATAAAGAATTAATAAGGCAAATACAGTAAAATGTTGACAACTGGAGAATCTGGGTATACTATTTTTATACCTTTTCTGTTAAGTTTGAAATTATTTCAAAATAAAAAGGAACAAAAAATTAATTAAACCAGAATCAGGTAATCCTACAGTACAGAACGAATGTGTGATTTACATGTTTAGATCTGGCACCCCACATTTATCTATTAGTTTACTTGAAAATGTTTCATCTAGAAAATACTGGGATTATTTTTCTTTATTACATACTATTAAACCCAAACCAAGCCCGCTGCCATCAAGTGGATTCCAACTCATAGCAACCCTATAGGAAGAGTAGAACTGCCCCGTAGGCTTTCCGAGGCTGAAATCTTCACAGAAGCTAAGTGTCAACATCTCCCACAGAACAAGCAGCTGGTGGGTTCGAACTGCTGACCTTTCAGTTAGCAGCCGAGAGCTTTAACCACTGCACAACCAGGTCTCCTATTACACAGTTAGCAACTTAAGATAGATGCCTACCTTTCCCACAAACAAACTTTATCAGAACACTTACCTCCTCCTCCACCCTAAAAAAAAACACAAAGCAAAAACTTACCCTCATGATTCAGTTTATGCCTGCTGACACAAATTTTGCTCTCCATTTTTTGATGAAGATGTCTAAAATTCATTGCTGTATTCAGAAAGAGATTTCTAGAATAACCTACCCTAAAATATTTTTCTTCCTAATGCTTTACTATATTACCTCCAAGTTATTCTTTTTCCTAATCTAAACCTACTTCAACCCTGTTAGTCCTTATTTGTTTACCATTTTGCTGTTTCTAAATAAGCAAGACTTGACTTTTTCACGTAGATGAAAAAATATCATACAGAGTTAATTCTTATCTAACATGAGCAGAAACCTGGTTTATTATATATTCATTCAGTCACTCATGAATTCAACCAACACATTTACCGAGAACCTCCTATGTTTCAGGCACTGTTCTGAGTGGAACTTGAATTCTAGTTGACCGGTGGGAAAGAAGACAAGAAATAAAAAAAAAATTAGATGGTGCAAGTGCTAGGAAAAATAATTAAAGTAAGGCAACTAACTGAGTAGTTACTTTAGACTGGTAGTCAGAGGTCTCCCTGAGGAAGTGATCTTTAAGCTAAGATTTGAACACCCAAGAGCCAGCGAAGTGCTAAGCCAGGAAAGAACACTACAGGCAGGAGGAACGGCAAGTGCAAAGATCCTGAGGCAGTATAGAGCACAGAGGGGTAGCATAGAAAGTAGAATGACAGAAGCCCAGAAAGGTGGGTGGGGATAAGATCATGTGGAATCTTCAAAGCATGGGCAAGGTGTTTGGATTTTATCCAAAGAGCAAAAGGAAGCCATTGGAGAATTTAAACAGGGGAATGACATAATATGATGAATGTTTAAAAAGATCCCTTTGGCTGCCGTGGGAGAAAAGGATTAAGGAGGTAAAAAAGTAAAAACAAAGCAACCAGTTGGGAAACTACTGTACAATCCAGGCAAGTTTATTTATCGCATTGATTAGGATGATGGTAATGGAACTGGAGAAAATTGTTTAGACTATATCTGGAAGTAGAGAGAAAAGCTAAGGAATTAGTCAGCCTAGTAGTTACCCCTGGAGAGGGAAAATGAAGGGTCAGAAAGGAGGTGTCTAGGGTGCTAGTAATACTCCATTTCTTGATCTGGGTGCTGGCTAGATAGGTGTGATTAATTTGTAAAAATTTATCATGCTGTACACTTACAATATGCGCACTTTTTAGTATATATTTTATTTCAATTAACATTTTTTAAACATTCCTAGTTATTTGGCTTGAGTAAGTATGTGGAAAGTGCTGCAATTCCCTGAGGTGAGGAACAATGAGAGAAAAGCTGGTTTGGAGGGTGAGGGGAGAAGGGAACAGTAAAAATTCTGTTTGGATGTGATCAAGTAAAGGGAGAAATAGATAGGTAATGGAAAGAAAAGGGATAATTTCAGGAGAAATATCCCAAAGAAGGTGAGATGGGAAAGAATCTCAAGCATAAGTATTACTTACTAAAAAATGAAAAACCTAACATTCAAGTTTCAGCTGTTTCTGATTTCTTTAGAAAGCTTCTGGATAGGATTTTCTATTTTTTTCAAATTTAACCATTTTAATATTCTTTTATTAATTCCTCAAACGGCCTATCAGCTTTAATTGAATTTTTAGCAATTAAAATGTTCAATTTCAGTATTTCATATCTGATGAAACTGTTTCAACTATTTCTGAGTTCTTTTAATTTTGTATTTCTAAATCTATTAATAACTCAAAAGACAGTTTTTTACTTTGATATGCTGGCTTTAAATCCTTCTGCAATAATACCATATTTATAGTGAATATATATCAGCTTTTAGCTATTACTGCTATGCTTTTCTTAAGCAGACTAAGATACCCCTACCTTTCAACAAAGCAAATATTCTTTAAAATGGCTGCTATGAAGATGAAAGCAAAAGCAGTCACTTAAACTTTGCACAACTCTAACAGTTATTAAACAAACATCTCATCCAGTATCAATTGTTATCAACTTTATAACTAGTGAAACTAGTTTTGGAAAACTGATAGATTTGATGGGTTGGTTATTAAGAAAATCACTTTTTGGTGTATTTGTCATGTGGCTAATTGGCTTACTCCTATAACAGGAGATAAGGTAGCAAATGAGAATGCAGAAACAGAGAAGTTAGGATATTTGGTAGTGAGAAGACAAGAGAATTCCTGTCTGACTGCTTCTCCTTCTCAAATAAGTTTAAAACAAGGTCACGTGCTATAGGGTGAGGGCTGAGAGTCAGTTTGAGGAGAAATAAAGATATGACATTGTCTTCCTGCAAAGTGGGGACGGGAACATCCTGGAGAATGGTGAGTGCTAGTGTCTGGGGCCCTTGTGACGTGGAGGCATGAATCTGAAGGGAAATCTGTCTACACAGTAGTGTGTTTAACTCCACTAACATCAAACTGCTTGAATACAGGCACAGACTAAGCATATGGTTTAAGTAAGGTCAAGGCTTTCCCTGGTGAGTACAATAAACAAAAAGCAGAATAAGAACGTAAAAGGTGTCTGCAAAATAACGATTATAATGATGGACCATTGACTCCAAACTGGAAGGACGATGAATAATAAATGTGGTGGGATTCATGAAATGAAAGTCCCAATAGGGTCCAAGAATTGTTGGCATCACAGTAATAGAGAGTGAGCTGCAAGATCTGCTTGAAGTAGAGATCTGGAGATGGTTCCACCATAAGAAGGTTACGGGCAAGACATGAGAGTGGGCAGCATGATTGTGGGAATGCATGGCTGAGGTGGACTGGAGGAAAAGAGTATTAAGAAATAAGGTGTTACTATTTACAAGAACAACAACATAAAAGAGTAGCTGCTGAGGCTGCTTATGTACAAACAAAAACCTCATGGGATTTGGGTACTTGGTTTGGAGGTTTAGGGCCATAGTTTCACGGGACATCCCAGTTAATTGGCCTAGTGACATATTTAGTGCTTTTGTTCCACCTCCTCGTTGGCTGCATAGTGCCTGGGGTCTTATAAGCCTGCAAGCAGCCATCCAAGACACAACAATTGTTCTCTATTTGCTGGGAGCAACAGAGGAAGAAGGAGAGTCAGGAACAGTAGTAAAGGATACAGAATGTGTGGCTAACTGCCTCCATGAACAACTGCCTCCTTTCCCAAGAGACCAGAAGAACTGGATGGTGCCCAGCTACATTAACGAACATTTTAATCAAAGATTCTATAGAAGAATGCTGATCAAAAGGGGGAAAATGCAAAACAGAATTTCAAGTTCTCAAGGACTCCAGACTTTCTGGAGTCAAGGGGTTAGACGAACCCCTGAAACTACTGCCCTGAGATAAACTTTAAAACTTAAACCAAAAATATCCCCTAAGAGAATGAAGAAAACGAGATACAAGGGAAAGATTAGTCCAAAGGACTAATGGACCACAACTACCACGGCCTCCACCAGACTGAATCTAGTACAACTAGATGGTGCCCAGCTACCACCCCTGACTGCTCTGACAGGGATCACAACAGAGGATCCCGGACAGAGCTGGAGAAAAATGTAGAACAAAATTCTGACTCACAAAAAAAGACTAGACTTACTGGCCTGACAGAGACTGGAGAAACCCCGAGAGTACGGCTCCCGGACACCCTTTCAGCTCAGTAATGAAGTCACTCCCGAGGTTCACCCTGCAGCCAAAGATTAGACAATCCCATAAAACAAAACAAGACTAACGGGGCGCAACAGCCCATGGACAAGGACTAGAAGGCAGGAGGGGACAGGAAAGCTGGTAATAGGGACCCAAGGCCAAGAAGGGAGAGTGTTCACATGTCGTGGGGTTGTTAATCAATGTCATAAAACAATATGTGTACTAACTGTTTAATGAGAAACTACTCGTTCTGTAAAGTACAATATAAATAAATAAAACAAAAATATCCCCTGAAGTCTTCTTAAAACCAAACAATAATTTAGCTTAACTAGTAAAAAAGGTCAGCCTTGAGCATTATGCTCTTCTAAGAACTATCTATATGGGATCAAACTGACAGCAACAACTCAAAAGATTAGATAGAAACCTTAGGGGGCAGTGAGCTTATGTTAATGGGGGAAGAACAACTCAGAAAAGGAGGTTGAGAATGGTTATACAACTTGAAGAATGGAATCAATGTCACTGAACTGGACATGTAGAAACAGTTGAATTGGTGTATGTTTTGCTGTGTATGTTTTCAACAGCAGCAAGAAAATAAAATTAAAAAAAAAAAGAAAACCCTACGGAGTGCAGTTCCACTCTGACACACCAAAAAAAAAGAAAAGAAAGAAATAAGGTATCAAGGAATTGAGAGGGCCACACACCATACATATGAATGTTAAAGTCATCAAGAATGGACTCCTGAGTACTGGTGGACAGGAAGGCTGTGAGCCAGGTTCTAAAGTCATCAGTGAATGATAGAGAATGACCAAGAAGTCAGCAAATGTCAGAAACAAGGAGGGGTTAGCATATTGAATAGGATGGTGGCATGAACCTCAAGGGAGAAAAGGAGAAAAGAGAAATGGCTTGAGGGTTACAATCAGAACAAGAAAAGAGAACCACCCTATTTAAGGAACATGGAGTATGAAAGAGAAAAGTGGTCTACCTGAAACATTTACAGGGAAAGAATATAATTAGGAAATAGTGAGATTTTAATTAAGGAAAAGATGTGAAAGAAAACTTTCAAAGAGAGATTGAGAATACAGTGTATATGGATACCCTCTTGGTGTTGTTCCAGAGGGTACCACAGAGGGGTTCAAAAATGAGAATTTCCAGTTAAGGGGCTATGAAATCTGCGCCATTAAAGGCTCTCTCTAGTTATTCTGATAAAAACCCTGAAACAACTTCAAGTTTTACTTTTGGTCACTGATTCTTATATCCCATCCACAATGTATCTCAAAACAATTTTAAGATAAAGTTCAGAGACAAGTGCTTACCTCTATTTCTGTAACTTTTTCAGAAGGGTTATCAATTAGGAAACGTGCTAAAGTCCCAGGAGTAGTTCTGTAAGTTAGAATGATTGAGTTTTTAGGGTCCTGACACCACTGAATAAAGAGGTCCCTTGAAAATCCACATTCCAGGTCAGGTTGGCTGGCAAGGACAACTTTGGGGCTAGGTACTCGAGCCAAGTCAGAAAGACCATGACATAAAGAGAGATGGCGAAACTGGAATGGATTGTTTCTTTTGTCTTCAAAACACCTCATCAATTTATCACTCATCCATTCTACCTATTATACAGGAAAAAGATAACAATTAGAAAATACTATATTTTCAATGCATTCTACAACAGTCAGCGAGTTCAAGTTCTATATTGTTCTATGTCTTCTTGCTAGGGAAATACTCATATTTGTTTATCATTTTGACAAGTAGCTTATTTTCTGCATACATTATTCAATCTTTCTGTTCCCCTTTAGGTTCTCTCACCCCAGATTCATCCCTAATAATCCAATTTTGCACTGTTTCACTTGTAAGTCACCTTAGATCTTCTTAAGAGATGACTATCCTACACAGAGTTTGCTATTTCAAGGAAAAGAGCCTTTTCAGAAGAAACAGAATAATGAATTCTAACAATGATACCCTATGAGGTAGGTTCTATTTTTGTCCCCATTTTACAGATTAGGATACTAAGACTTAGAGAAGGAACATGTCCAATCTATAAAATGGGGATGAAAACAGAAACAATTTCATGGGGTATATAAAAGATTAAATGAAATATTACATGTAAAGCACACAGAGCAGTTAAGTGGTTGATATTTTTTTGCTGTTGAAATTATTATTAACAACCTCTTCAACAGAAATATAAAATCAAAACGACAATTAAGATACTATATTCCACAAGCCTCAATCATTATAGCAACCTTCTTTATTACAAATGCTAACATGAAAACAAACCTGGGACTTCGAAAACTCCACCACATTATAGCTGACGTTATTTAGGAGTGCCAATGAGTAAACACCCAATCCTGCATCTTTAGTTCTCCAAATCTGATCAAGAAGTTGAGCAAGTTCCAAAACTCTGCCTGCAGTGTCCACTGCTATTAATACATTTCCATCACCTCGAAGTGTTTCCAGGACGTTTGCTGGAAAACAACAACATAAATTCCCCATAGAACACAGCAATACTTGGCTACAAAATGAATGATAACTTTATCCTCCTGTTTTTACTATGAAGACTATAATTTACAAATTAGCAATTACATACTAGGTGAGGTAGAAAATTTTAAAAAATGTCATCCAGGCTATTATAACTACTTTCTATTCTATTAACTATATCGCCACAGGAGTGACAATAATGCCACCAATGCTCAATTTTTTTCATTAAACATTATTTATCAGTAGTTTCCAACCCTTTTCACATCATAGAAAGCACAGCAAATGATATTCTGTACAGTACACTAGATAAATAAATGACTAAGCCAAATGCAACCAGCCTGGGGTTCCCGGACTACCTTGGTCTTACCTGCCCACCCTGATGAACTTTGTTATAAATAATTCCCAAATGTGTATGTATATATGTATGTGTGTATGTATAACATATCACTCGTATCTATACATACATATTTAATATATGTATATAAGTACAGCGTATGCATGTATGCCTGTAAAATAAAATATAAATCAACTCCCTTCCAATAAAAGTATTTCTATAAATAGATTTTCTCATGGAAATATTTGGTAAAACCAAACTCTAGCCAAAAGAAAGAACTACAAGAATTGAAGAGTTTTTTCCATGGACAAATCCAAACTCCCTTAGGGACCAATTACTGGGCTGAGGGCTGTCGGGACCATGGTCTCAAGGAAATATTTAGCTCAATTGGCATAACATGGTTTATAAACAAAATGTTCTACATTCTACTTTGGTGAGTAGCGTCTGGGTTCTTAAAAGCCTGTGAGTGGCCATCTAAGATATTCTACTGGTCTCACCCCTTCAGGAGCAAGGGAAAATGAAGAAAACTAAAGACACAAGGGAAAGATTGGTCCAAAGGACTAAGAAACCACAATTACCACAGCCTCCACCAGACTCAGTCCAGTACAACTAGATGGTGCCTGGCTACCACCACTGACTGCTCTGACCGGGATCACAACAGAGGGGAGAAAAATGCAGAACAAAATTCTAAGTCAAAAAAAAAAAAAAGACCAGACTTACTGGCCTGACAGAGACTGGAGAAATCCCGAGAACATGTACCCTGGACACCCTTTTAGCTCAGTAATGAAGTCACTCCAGAGGTCCACCTTTTAGCCAAAGATTAGACAGACACATAGGACAAAACAAGACTAAAGGGGCACACCAGCCCAGGGGCAAGGATTAGAAGGCAGGAGGGGACAGGAAAGCTGGTAATAGGGAAACCAGTGTCGAAAAGGGAGAGTACTGACAGGTCATAAAACAATATATGTACTAACTGTTAACCAATGTCATAAAACAATATATGTAGTAACTGTTTAATGAGAAGCTAGTTTGTTCTGTAAACCTTCATCTAAAGTAACAATTAAAAAAAAAAAAGAATTTAAGAGCTTTTTAAAGTCAGTGTAACATAAAATAAAACCAAACCCATTGCCATCGAGTCAATTCTGATTCACAGCAACACTATGGGATGGAGTAGAACTGCCCCAGAGGTTTCCAAGGCTGTAAATCTCTACAGAAGCAGACTGCCACATCTTTATCCTACGGAGCAGCGGGTGGGTTCAAAACAGCTGACCTTTCAGTTAACAGCGGTGCACTTAACTGTGCTACCAGGGCTCTCCTTAGTGCAACACAGTATATATTTAAATATTTTTTTAAGTAGATGGACTAAGGCAGTGGTTTCAAACATGTTTTAACAGTGGAATCCAATTTTTTTCCCTGTTGAAATCCCATGTAGCTTATAAGAAAGAATGTAAGAGTAGAGAAGCTCTAGTCAAAGCAGAAGCAAGCAGCAACGGTCCGGAAGCACCTCTTTAGAACAAAGGTTACTAGACTAGTGTATAAAACTCCAACATCAAAATCAGTGCAATATTTGCACTCTGATTTATTGCCTTTGTTCATTTTTCTTTTAGAGTTTAAGTGGTTTTCTAATAGATTCATCTGAGGTCTTTATATACATTAGTGTTCCCTAGACATATGTGAGTGCCAGGGAGAGCTAGCTATGTGCTGGATGGCAGGGAGAAGCCATCTTTATAACTATTCCACAAAACTTACATTCAAATCCACTGAAGCATTTCCGTATGTAAAATATTAATATGACTACATAATATTAAAAAAAAAAAAAATTAGAGTTAGCCAATCTCTTATGATCAAGAAAAATGTTAAACGGAATAAAGAGCAATTCATGGTACCATGCATTTCCACTACTCTTTAAAAAGGACATTATATAATACATACTCAGAAGTTGCTCATCTCTCTGTTTTCGCCTAGGCTGCACGTAAGTAGCGTTAAACGAATCTGTGATAAGTAGAGAGGGTCTGCTTAGCATTTCCAGGGAACATCCATTTAAGTGGCTATAAAAAAGTTTTAAAAAAAGAATATGTCACGTCAAGTTAACAGTAATAGATTCTCTTACTTAAAATAAGCAACTTTTTTAAGAGGCTTCTTCTTCCCCTAACTACAAAAAGTATACACGCTTACTGATTAGAAAATCTGGAAAATTCATAAAGTATTAAAAGGAAAATAAAAATCTTCTAGAATACCGTCACTCAGAGATAGTCAATGTAATATCTGGGTGTACTCCCTTCTATGCATGTAAATAATTTTTCGAATGCCTAAACAAATGTATTGTACAAAGTTGATGTCCTATGTATACTCCTATATAGTCAGTTCTATATCCTGGTGTTTTTTCCATGACATTAAAATTTTTTTCAAAACCTAAGTTTTAACAATTGTAAAAAACTTTCTATTTTGACTGTACTATAATTATTCGATAATTTCTTTTTACTGATATTTAGGTTACTTTTTTTTTCCATTATAAATAATCTTTCAAAGAACAGTTTTGCAAAAAAAGCTTCAACTGCATTTCTGAATGTAATTCTTTGAGATTTATTCATAGAAATGTATTTCCTGGAATATACAGTAATTTTTACAACACTCAGTATTTGATGTTTTAAATTACCCTAGAGTCCTGGTTTATAAAACAACTTTGTTTCTAATTTTCCCTCCAAAGAATGAAATAACACCAATTGTATTTCCTTTAGTTTTTGTCTTGATATACCTACATCTCCCTCTTGTGATTGAAGTCAACTGCATAAACAATTTCTTCTTCTCCATCTTTGACTATTTTCCATATCGTTCCACCTATCATATGACCAGCTGGCAGAGGTGTGATAGACAAGCCATGTCCTTTGCCTATGTCAACAAGATAATAACAATACTCAGATTTCTTTTACAATCTTCAATGAAGATTACTTAGTTGTAAATTATTATTAATAGGTAATACATGCAACGACACAGAAGTAAAAAGACACACAGTAAAAAATCAAATCTCCTTCACCTGTCCCCCAGCTACTCCATTCTCTCACTGGATGCAAACACTGTTGTCATTTTATTATGCATTCTTACAAAGATATTTGTGCTTATTATAGATAGAAGGATAGAGATAGGACTTAAAAACTAGAATATTCTTATTAAATTACTTAGGATAAATTAATAAAAGTTAGTGTTTATATCGTACATACAGTTACCAAGTGTTTCCATATATGCTAACCTCTCAACTGACAGAATAATTCCAATATCATATGGTAAATAAATTTATCCTACAGAAAAATAAAGTACAAGCAACATGGTTGAGATCATTATAACTTCCTGGCTAAAACTTCAGAAGTCCACTGTTATGTCATTTTTTCAATGTCAGGGTCTACATTTTTGAAAATCTCTAATACAATTTTTTCTTTATATGATAAGTTAATAAAAAAAAAAACTTTAAATTAAATTAAAAATTTTTTAATGCCCAATGCTAGAATTCAGTCATTTTCTACTCTGTGCTACAACTGCCGTTCATTTACTCCAATCACTACATCTACCCACCTGTGCTACTTGTCTCCTCAACCGAACTATGAGCTCCTAGAAGGATCTGGGCGCATTTACCTTTTTGCACGTTGCGCGTTACACACAGTAAACATTACATAAATCTTTCCCAAGTAAAATGTGAAAAGGCCTTAGCTGTTAACATTTTCTTAATATTTAGTCTGGAATATTTAAAAATCCAGGTGAGTTGTGGGAAGTTCAGAGTTCTGTTGCAAGGCAGAAAATGGCTAATCTTTATTCTTCAGACCATAATGCCTGTAATTTTTACCAAGATTACTCCTCAGTATTTTTCAGTAATTAAACCCTGTTAGTCCAATTATTTGCTACTGGAAACATTTTTTTACCTTTCAAATTTACAATCTGAGAGAATTTTAGCTGCTGTATTTTATCAAAGGCTGCGTCAACATCATCTAATGTGAAGAGTGTGAAATCTTCTGTATTGTGTCGAGACTAAAAGAGTAACACAAAGAAACGATTAAAAATGATCACTGTAGGAGTGATAAAATTGAAAAAACAATCTTTTAAATTACCTGATAAAGATCATACATGAACATCTGCCCCATTTTATAAACAGGAATGGTTGCATAGATAGCACAATTCAGACCCAACTTTCCAACAGCATACGGGAGCGCACCAAGATGGAGAGGATCAGGGTGAGACAATAGCACAGCATCAATCTGGTGAACATGCCTAGGAGAACACAATCAAATTGACCACTCTCTTGAATCTTGTTTTTAAGGGCAAAGATAGGATATTCAAAATTGATTTGCCAAAATTCTGATTCCTGCTAATAATCTGGATTAAAGAATATGCTGGAGTAAAAGAACAAAACTAAGAGCTAAAATTATGATACCTATAAATTTCAATTATTATTACTCCTGTCCTGCATACATTATCAAAATTACAGCTATAAACTGCATCTAAAAATACAGTGTGTAGACACATAAAGAAAGAGAGAAAAAGAGAGCGAGCAAGGGAGGAGAGGAGGGAGGAAGAAAAAGAGTAGACACCAAAAGTAAGTTGATTTTGAAAGGCTATCTTGTATACTATTGATTCAAGTTCAATAATTCAGCTTGGAATTTCAGAAATATTAAGGACAAGATGTTTAATCTGTCACTTGTTTATTATGTATTTTTGTCTCAATTTTTTAGGACAGTAACTGACAACATACTCATTACAGTAAACAATCTTTAACTAGGGAAGCACAGGCTCTCATTGACAAAAGAAGTTAACCAGAGAATGTCTTTTGCTTCAAGTTCTAAGTTGTTTAAAGGTTTAAAAACTCTTTCCTTTCATAATTAGTACAATCCTACAAACATAACTGAATGTTCCTTTCGTAGGATCCTTTGGTATCTCACAGCCTTTATTCTGAGGACCAATTCTCAAGGTCTAGTACCAAATGACACAGAAAGTAGACTAAATGTGATCTGATTGCAGAACACTGACATGGAAGGCTTTTCCTCTCCTCGACTCTTACGAACTTAAGCCTACTCTTTCCTAAAGTTAGAGTGCAAAAATTCCTGAGTGATCCATTAGCCAAGTAACAATTAAGATTTTGCTCAATTTTATAATCACAGCTTATAAATCAATCAAAGCATTACAGGTTAAACAGTCACTAAATTAGAGCAAAAAGCAAACACTGTGTAACATCAAAAAAGAAGTTGATTTAAAAGCCTAGAAATATGAAAAGTAACTTACTTCCTCAGGGAATCTATAATATCCATAGAAAAGTGCTCATCCCAGCCACAGTCCAATAAAAATCTAAACTCATCAACCTGGAGAAGATAGCAAAGAGCAGACTCTTCTTGGACCCCAGAGAGGGTAGTTAATTTGATAATAGATGTCATTTTTTTGGTCCAATAACAACAATCTAAAAGGTTCTTTCAAAACAAAAACACAATTAAACATAAGAGCACGCTCCAAAATATAAAACTGACAATTAACTAAAATTATATCAAATTTGTAAGTGCACAGAAATCCCATAAACATGGAAAGCAAACATTTTAAAGACTATTACCATCATTGCTAAATTTAAAGATACAACTATAATCTTACCCACTCTTGTTTAAATATCCTTCAGTTGCTCCCCAGTGTAGTTTAGCGAAAAGTAGGTTGATTTTGGAATCAGATAGACCCAAATTTGAATCCACTCCTATGTGATTTTCGACAAAGTAGTTAACGTTTCTTTAGCTATATATCCCAGTCTATAAATGTGAATATTAATATATATGTACAAGGAATGTTGGAAGATTTGAAATAATGTATAAATTACCTAGAACAGCTTAGTTCATCCAAGTTCCACAAAAAGTAAATGTTTGCTAAATTAATGAACTCATCCTTTAAGATGATTTTGTTACTCCCTTACTTTGCTTTTATTAAAAAAAAAAAAGTTTTTTTGGTAATTACATTACAATTATTAGTTTACATGTTTTTCTCTCCTATTAGATCCCCTTGAGAATCTAGTAATAAAAAGCTATGGACCCTTCCTCCTCCCCCTACTGCTCAAAAGAACAAATACAAAAAAACACATATACATACAGAAATTCACATACTTTTCAGGGAGTTTAATGTTAAGAACTGTTATACTGGATTGTGAGCAACTGAAAAATAAAGGTGATATCATCTTATGTCTGCAGTTCCAAAAACAGAACTTGATACACAGCAGGTGTTCAATACATATTTGATGGATGGATGGATGGTTGGAATGCCTACTACACATATTTCAAGAAGGTGAACATGTCTACTGGGACTTAGGAACTAAAAGGACTGCATGCTATTAAACAGATGTTAGGAAAATATTCATTATGAAAGTGCAACTCCACAGCAACACTTTAGATTTCAGCTCCTTAAAATAAATTAGCCTTTCCTGACAACTTCAATATTTAATAGGTATATATATCCTTTCTTGATAAAAACCCTAAAGAAGGTTAGAATAGAAGGGAAATTCCTCGTGATATTCAGGGCATATATGAAAAGCCAATAGCTGACACTATACTTAAGAGAGACTAAGAGCTTTCCCCTTGAAATTGGGAACAAGACAAAAGTGACTGCTCTCACCAATTCTCTTTAACATTGTATTAGATGCCCTAGCCAGAGCAATAAGATAAGAAAAAGAAATAAAAGGTATCTAGACTAGAAAAGAACAAGTAAAGTTATCTCTATTCACATATGATATGATTCTATATATTGAAAATCCCAAAGGGTCCATAAGAAAACTTCTAGAGCTAACAGAGGAATTTAGCAAAGTGGCAGGGTACAAGGTCAACAAACATCAGTTGGGTTTCTATACAGTAGCAATGAGAAATCTGAAAGGGAAATTAGGGAAGCAATTCCATTTACAATAGCACCTAACAGAATAAAATACCTAGGAATAAATCTAACCAGGGATTCAAAGGACTTATACAATGAAAACTAAAAAACACCACTGAAAGAGATTAAAGAAGACTAAAACAAAAGGAAAGATATTCCATGTTCATGGATTGGAAGGCTAAATACTGTTAAGATGTCAATACTACACAAAGCGATCTGTAGATTCAACGCAACCCTGATCAAAATTCCAACAGCCTTCTTTACAGAAATAGAAGAACAAATCCTCAACTTTATATTGAAGGGCAAGAGGCCCCAAATAGTTAAAAACAATGTTGAAAGAGAAGAACGAAGTAAGAGGACTGACACTTCCTGATTTTAAAATATACTATACAGCTATAGTAATCAAAACAGCTTGGTACTAGTATAACAATAGATACACAGACCAATAGAACAGAATTGAAAGTCAATCTATAGTCGACACATCTATAGTCGACTGACTTTTCACAAGGGTGCTAAGTTCATTCAATTCTCCTCAAAAGATGGTGCTGGGAAAATTGAATTTCCACACGCAGAAAAATAAACAGGATGCATGCCTCATATCATACACAAAAACAAATTCAAAACGGATTCAGGACTTAAATGTGCAAACTAAAACCATAAAGTTCAATCGGGGCAGCGCTGTCAGGTCTAGCTTTCAACAATGGATTATGTAATATAATAACAAAAACACAAATAGCAAAAGACAAAATAAATAAGTGGGACCTCATAAAAATTAAAAACTTGTATATCAAAGACTTTACAAAAAAATTGAAAAGACAAGCTACCAACTGGGAGAGTATCTTCAGAAACCATATATCCAATAAGGATCTAATAACTAAAATATATATAAAACTTCAACTTAACAGCAAAAAGATTAATAACCCAGTCATAAAATGGTCAAAGGACTTGAGTAGACATTTCACCAGAGGACACTGAAATGGCCACCAAACACATGAAGAATGCTCAGCATCATTAGCCATCAGAGAGATGCAAATCAAAACCACAATGAGATACCATTTCACTCCCACTATGATGGTTAAGATAGAAAAAAAAAAAAAAAGAACAGAAAATAATGAATGTTGGTGAGGATGTGGGAATACTGGAACACTTATCCATTGCTGGCGGGAATGTAAAATGGTACAGCAGTTGTGGAAAACAGTGTGGTGGTTCCTCAAAAAACTAAAAACGGAACTACCATACGACCCAGCAATTCCACTCCTAGGCATATACCCAAAGGACTTGAAAACAGACTCAAAAAGAGACTTGTACACCAATGTTCATTGCAGCATTATTCACAATAGCCAAAAGGTGGAAACAACCTAAATGCCCACCAGCAGATGAATGGTTAAACACAATGTGGTACATACATACAATGGAATACTACTCACCCAGTAGGAGAAATGAAGTCTTGATACACGCTATAGTATGGATGGAGCTTGCAGACATTACACTGAGCGAAATAAGCCAATCACAAAAGGACAAATGTTGTATGACTTATATAAAAAGTCAAAGAAAGGCATATGTACAGAGACCAAAGTTTATTAGTGGTTACCAAGGCGGATTAATGGTGATGGAAAAATTGCATTGATTAAGGGTAGGGTTGCACAGCCTATTATTGCAATTGCCGTCAATAAGTTGTACACCTGTAAAAAGTTGAATTGGCAAAAGTTGTGTGACAGATATATTTACAACAGCTACAAAAAAAGAGTACTTGCTGAGGCTGCTTACGTACAACCAAACACCTCATGGGATTTGGTTCTTTGGTTTGGAAGTTTAGGGTCAAAGTTTCATGGGGCATCCCAGTTAACTGGCCTAATAATATGTTTAGTGCTTTTGTTCTACCTCCTAGTTTGCTGTGTACTGCCTGGGGTCTTAAAAGCTTGCAAGTGGCCATTCAAGGCACAACAATTGGTATTTACTTGCTTTGTCTGTCCACTCTTCCCATCCTGATCCCCACTAGAATGTGGACTCCATGAAAGTAGAAACAAAAAAAAAAACCCGTTGCCGTCGAGTCAATTCCAACTCACAACCACCTTATAGGGCAGAGTAGAACTGCCCCATAGGGTTTCCAAGGAGCTGCCCGGTGGATTTGAACTGCCAACCTTGTGGTTAGCAGCCCAAGCACTGTGCCACCAGGGCTGAAAGTAGAGACGTTGTCTATTTTGATCCCAGCTATATTCCAATGCCTACCCAGTGCCTAACATACAGTGTTGATCAATAAAAGTTTCTTAAATGAATGAATGAAGCGTGGCTAGTATTAAATGAGCTTAGTCCCCTTACCATACCATTAATGTTTTCCCTTGCTAGGAAGAGCTCTGACTGCAGTACTAGCCTTGATCCATTTTGTGTTCTTAGTATATTAGAACATGCCTTGCACATAGTGGATGCTCAATACATAGCTGCTGAAACAAACAAAGTTAAACTATTGGGTTGGTATGTTCCTATTTGTAAGTTATAAGAGGTACAAAGATATTAATTCTCTTACTGATGAAATAGTTATAAATACAATTTTGGAAAGAACCTAGGAAATTCTCCCTGCCAAAAATCTTCCTGTACCACAATCATATTAATGGGCTAAGAGAAACTCTTTTTCTACTCAAGTATACCTTAAATCCCACTTTTAAAATTTAGAGTATGAATGAAAGCACAAAGTATCTTGCAGAGAAAACTTTTTTTTTTTTGCCAGCAGACTCAGATTTCAACAGATGAAAGGATATTTTTATTAAAATTGCTCATAGTATAACGAAGTTATATTTTTATTAGGTACTCATTACTTACTGATGTATCAGTAGTATATATGATGAAACACCATGAATTCAGAGGAGTTCTTTATAAATCTAAAAAATAAACAAATAAGAGCCTCATGAATATAGTATAATGATTTACTTGCTTTTAACTATAGTGTTTAACTAGCATGTCTTGCCCTAGGATGAACACTGTTAGCACCACGGTCCTTTTTCTTAAAAGAAACTTTTCATAATTTTAGGAAGCATAAGTTTACATAAAACAAATAGAAATAATAAAAGACAATAAAAATAAATAATAATGTACCAAATTGGCTATAATCAGGTGCTGAAATATAGTTTAGGAAACAAGTTTTAAAAATTAACATTAGCTTGTTATTGAGAATCACAGAAGAGGTGGGACCTAAGATTATATGTTAAGGATTGAGAGGACCTGTGTAAAAACAGACAAAAGGAGAAGGCATTCAAAAACAAGGAAATAACATGAGCAAAGGCACAAAACAGAAATTCATAGAGTATCAGTGAGAAAAACTACCCTGGCACACCTGCATATTATCAAAAAGTGAAAGAAAAGGCCAAATGAACATAAAAGGGCCAGATAAATGAAGGGCCTTGGGAACTTTGGACCCAATCTCTACAGGCAACAGAGAAGCATTTTAAGATCCATTACCAAGTAGGAAAATGACATGATACAGGTAATTCATTATTTTAGGAAAATTAGCTGGTGGAGATGAATGACTGAATAAGAAGATACAGAAAGCAGAGAGATAAAAAGGGAGAATATTTAGCAGTCCACTTCCTCATCTCGACTTTGCTGCTTCCATTTTGGGACTATATTTCTTTAGCCTCAAACGTACCCAATGACGTCAGGTCAATTCCGACTCCTAGCGACCTTATAGGACAGAGTAGAACTGCCGAATAGGGTTTCCAAGAAGCAGCTAGTGGATTCGAACTGCTGACATTTTGGTTAGCAGCCAAGCTCTCAACCAGTGCGCCACCAAGCCTCAAATGCACTTTTTATAATTCTTTGACATCAATTCATTAGTCATTATCTAAGGCATTGAATCTTGAAATGCTACATCTTTGATTCCTCCCTTTACTTCTTCTTGGATAGTCTATTTTCAACTCCTGATTGTTTTACCCTCAAAATGCCTTGCACGTATACCATTCCTTTTCTATTCTGTCAATACCTTAACACAGGGCCTCTTCACCTTACATTTAGGTTTCCCTGCCTCCAGCCTTTCCTCTCTTCATCTCTACCTAAACACTGCTGCCAGTTAAACCTTCAGAAAGACTCCTGCACATATTACCACTTGCTCAGAAATCTCTGAAGGCTTCTTACTGCTTGAAAAAAAACAGAACAAAACAAATGCCTTAGCTGGCAATGGAGTTCTTCAGCAAACTGTCCGGACATCACTGCTCACCAACATCATCTCAAGGCCCAGATCAAATTCCACTGCAATGCGTTTGGTTTTTTTATGGTTACCAATCCCCCCATTGTTAGTCTTGACTACATTAGTTCTGTTCAACAGAAATATAATGCCAGCCAGATGCAGCTTAAAATTTTTTCATAGCCACGCTGAAAAGAAACAAGTCACATAAATTTATCCCAGCATATACAAAGTATTACCATTCAACATGTAATTATTATTTAAAAATCATTAATGATATATTTTACCTCTTTTGTTTTTACTGTCTTCAAAATCCAGTGTGTATTTACACTTACAGCACATCTCAATTGGAACCAACCAAATTTCTAGTGCTCAAAAGCTACATGTGCCAACTGTAATACAGCAGGTCTACTCTAGACACTAAAGTCAATGCTTGAGACTACAGAGTAGTGTGCTCTGCCACTCCTAAAGTGCAGGCTGGCACCATTCTGTTTTTACGTACAGGTCTTAGACTTGATTTTAATGGTATCACCAACCAGTTAGACTCCCAGACTAAAACTCTGGAGTCATTCTCCTACCATCAAATTGACATTTCAGAAATGTCTCTCTTATAAACAAACAAAATCCAAACCCAATGCCGTCGAGTCAATTCCAGACAGAGTAGAACTGCCCCATAGGGCTTCCAAGGTTGTAAATCTTCATGGAAGCAGACTGACACATCTTTCTCCCTCAGAGCAGCTGGTAGGTTCAAATCGCCAATCTTTTAGTTAGCAGCTGAGTGCTTAACCACTGCACCACCAGGGCTTCTCCTTATATTCTTACTGCCCTACAGTTGAGGCACTGAATGACTGCAATTCCCTCTCATCTAGTTTCCCTGTTCCAAGTTGATCCTCCATACAACTGGCAGAGAGACTATCTTCAAAAACAAGTATTTTCGTGTCCCCTCCTTAAACAAAGGATCCACGGGCTTCCTGTTAACTACTGAATAAAATCTGAAGTCCTTAGTTGGAAATCAAGACCCTTCACAAATTGATGACCTACCTCTTGCTTCACCAACCACCCTTGCACTGCACGTTCAAGCACACTTATTGTCCCACTCTAAGTACCTAAAACTTCTCAAGTCTCTGCATCCCTGTACTTTTTGCCTCTCCAGGAATGGCCTCCTCTGGAGTTTCAGAAACTCCTTTTGACCCTTCACGACCCAACTGAAATATTAACTCCTTTACACCCGGGAAAAGCTAGTTATTTTTACCTAGCAAAAGCGGCACAAAAAAATATTTGTTGAAGAAACTGAATGTATAGAGGAATAAAAGTGTTCATCTTTGTATCTCCAAGAACAAGAACAGTGCCCAAAACAACATAAATGTGCACTGAAAGAATGAATCCTCACAAGATCATAAATTCCTTCAGAGCGGTGAATGTGGCCGATATTATTTCATCTCAAATATCTGTCACAGTTACTTGCTCTTTCAATGACTGGGTATGTTGAAAATGACAACTAAGGGGAACTATGCAAAATCCACGGAAAAAACAAAGGAGTGAGTTCGGGTTAGCACTGCAGCGCGAACGGAGTGCGAAAATCTTTCTGGTCAATTCCGGAAGAGCAGCGGTTTCACACCCGGATCAAAAAGATTGTAAAATAAAAGGGGATACGCAAATGATAAGTCAGGTTCGCCTGATCACAGGAGGCCAGACTTGCCTGTGACCTCCTGTCTTCTAAAGAGTATGTTAAGATCACACAAAGACAATGAGGTCTTAAAATATTGCAGTGATACGAGTGCAAGCGCTCGGGTATGATGGAGGCAGAGCGTGGAGAGCCGAGACAATTTTAAGAAAGCGTGGTAACATCTTAAAGATCTTTGGAGTCAGTCAACTAAAAGGACGCCTACTTTGTGCCCAGTGCTTAGTAGACTCGTAGTCTCTCATCCCGACACAACGGGAAGACCCCGAGCGAGGAAGCTGAGAACAGCGTAGACGCGAGGCGGAAGAGCTAAAGGTGGCGCCGGATTAACTCCTCCAGCGCCAAGAGACAGCAGAGAGAAACCGCAGGAAGGAGGGAAGGAGACATGGGAGTGAATGGCACAGCCTGCCCCAAAGGAGCTACGGAGAAGTCACTTCTCTTTCCCTCGCTGAGCACTTCTGCCAGGAACGACCAGGACCGGCTCAACCGAAACTCCGGGAGCAAGTCCCCAAGGAAGACTGGGTCGGCGTTGGAGCCAGGTTCTCCCTGAGGGCCGAGGACGCCCCCTCCCTCATCCAAAGGCTTACTCCTTTCTTCTGCCCTCACTTGCCTCGTCAGTCCTCCCCCAACGCCGTCCACTGCCCTTCCCAACCCCTAGTCGAATCCAGGTTCGAGAGCGAGAAAAGCTGGTACTCGCTCAAAAGCAACTGTAACGATCGGCCTACAGAAGCCTCTCAGTGGCGGCCGCCATCTTGAAACTGGAGAGGAACGGCAGAGGCAGGGAAGACTCAGGATTATACCATCTCTGGGGGGGGGAGAACGCAACTTTAGGAAGGAGAAGGCACTTACACCAACAAGTCTCGTCACCTTGGACGGAGGTTTTATTTAAAAATTATTTATTATATTTGAAAGCCGAAATAAATTTGAGAAGAGTCAAATATGAAGAGGAAGAAGGGTTATGACTTCCAGGTGCCACCCCTCCTTTCGTGCGGGCGCGGCAAATGGTAGAGCCCGAGGCCGCAGCTTCCGCCGGCGCCGATCGCTGAGCTCGCCCCTGCCCTTGGTCGTGGGGTCGTTGTTGGCAGCGGGGGCAGCAGGTTGGTGCGGGCCCGATCACGGTTGTGCAGACAGGGAGGGGTCTTTTCAATGAAAGCCCTCGGCAGTGGTGGTGGTGGTAGTGGGGTTTCTGGGTCTCCCCAGGGCAGGAGCGGCTGGGCTCCTGAGCGACGGAGACGGGCAAGGGGAGAAATAGTCTTTTTTTCTAGTGGACGCCTGCGTTCACGTTTTCCGCCTGGCAGCTTTTCGAAGGGGAACTCTGAGACTGTATAACAGTCATAAAGGCCGGAAACGTCTTTAGGGATCGCTCGGTGATCTCCGCCTCGCCGGCTGAAGAAAGAAAACCGGCCAGGATCGCATGCCGAAACGGAAGCACGGGTGGGGCGCCTCTGCGACCCTGTAAGATTCGGCCAGTGTCAGCGTTCTGTCCCCTGGTTAGTTAGGATTGGAACCTAACTTCACTCTCTTCCACCAAATAAGCACTTACCCTTTTGTGTTTTAAAAACTCAGTATTTAATTTGCTCGTGGTTTCTAGGTTGTATGTGTCATTAAGACTGTTCTGTACCTCGAGTTTAGATCCTCGAGGTTAAGTCGGCACTTTGTGAATACTACATATAAACGGCTGTAGAGACCAATTAGAGAGTAGAATATTATTTATTAAAAATAAATATATTTAGTGACATACAGAAAATACTAAGTATGGGTTTGGTTTTTGACCAAAACCAAACCCGTTGCGGTCGAATCCGATACCAACTCAGGTGACCGTATAGGGCAGAGTATAACTGCTCCATAGGGTTTCCAAGGAGCAGCTGGTGGATTCGAAATGCCGACGTTTTGGTTAGCAGTCGTATTCCTAGAGGTGGGCAAAACAAAAACTGGATCATTTTGGTATGGAATGGTAAATGATTAGTTATATGATTCCTAAAGTCCATAAGATAAAAAACTAGTTTTTTTTCAGGATCTGAAGTGAAAAAAAATTTTTTTTTCTTGAAAGTACTCATAAAAAAGACACTAATTCCTTGTACAGTGGTAAGCATGTGTATAACATCATTAATGTTAAATACAATGGGTTACATAGGCCTGTATCTGATAATATATTTGTTAATGTTGCTATATGACAAAATGACAGGTTGCAAGTTAGTAAAAGCGTATACACAGCTGTCTCACAGGCACACGTGGATATCCCCTAGAGCAGCTGGTTCTTTGTTTTTTCCTCTGAGTCCTCCGGCCTATCCTCCCTCATCCAAAACCTAGGCTTGCCTCATTGAAGCCTGGCCCCAGTCCTCTTTGTCCCTTCTCTATCACATCAAGCTAACTTATGTCTTGGGCCCAAGAACCTGAGAGCCTGGCTACCTACCCTTCCCCACAGTCCACTTTCCATCGTTCTAGCTTACTTCTTATATCCATAAATCATTGTCATCTCTAGTTACCCACTCAGTAAAACGTATGGAACAAATTGTGTTCAGTGCCACGACTCCCAAAGTTTACTAAATACTAGACTGTACAACTGTAGAATTAAATGCATCTGAGACTAAGATTTGTCGTTTACCTCGTAGAGATGGAATTATGGTTCCTTCATATTGGTTAAGTTCCACTCAGGATTCTGATTGTATAGAATCTTTCTATCTATTAGTCCCACTGTCTTTACCTTTGTTGTTGTTAGGTGCCACTGAGTCGGTTCTGACTCGTAACAACCCTTTGTACAACAAAACGAAACACTGCCCAGTCCTGTGCCATCCTCATGTTCGTTGTTATGCTTGAGCCCGTTGTTGTAGTCCCTGTGTCAGTCCATCTTGTTGAGGGTCTTCCTCTTTATTGCTGACCCTCCGCTTTACCAAGTATAATGTCCTTCTCCAGGGACTGATCCCTCCTGATAACATGTCCAATGTATGTGAGATGAAGTCTCGTCATCCTCGCTTTTAAGGAGCATTCTGGCTGTACTTCTTCCAACGCAGATTTGTTCATTCTTTTGGCATTCCATCGTATATTCAATAATCTTTGCCAACACCACAACTCAAAGGTGTCAGTTTTTCTTCAGTATTCCTTATTCATTGTCCAGCTTTCGCTTGCATATGAAGCAATTGAAAACACCATGGCTTGGGTCAGGCGCATCTTAGTCTTCAAGGTGGCTTCTTTGCTTTTTAACACTTTAAAGAGGTCTTTTGCAATAGATTTGCCCAGTGCAATGCATCTTTTGATTTCTTGACTGCTACTTCCGTGAGTGTTGATTGTGGATCCAAGTAAAATGAAATCCTTGACAACCTCAATCTTTTCTCTGTTTGTCATGATATTGCTTATTGGTCCAGTTGTGAGGATTTTTGTTTTCTTTATATTGAGGTGTAACCCATACTGAAGGCTGTGGTCTTCAATCTTCATCAGTAAGTGCTTCAAGGCCTCTTTACTTTCAGGAAGCAAGGTTGTGTCATCTGCATAACACGGGTTGTTAATGAGTCTTCCTCCAATCCTGATGCCCTGTTGTTCTTCGTATAGTCCATCTTCTCAGAATATTTGCTCAGCATAGAGATTGAATAAGTATGGTGAAAGGATACAACCCTGACACACCCGGATACCTTTGGCATCTGGGATTTCTAGAAGAGCCTAAATGCATGAAGAGCCACAGAGTCGTCTCTTCTGCTCAGAGTAGAGCCAAACAAAACCAATTCCTTATGGTCTGGGCCCCACACCTCAAAAAGTACCAGCAGTGATGGCTCATGGCCTACAGGTGGCCATGGGCTTATTTGAGCCATTCTTGGGCTAGGAGTCAACAAGTATTTTTTGTTGGTAGTGCAAAACAATTTCTGATAGCTGTGCTTAGGGTAGAATTGATACCTCTTTCAAGGTTACGTTGTTTGACTGAGGTATGCGTTGCTATCCCCATCCTTGACTGGCTCAATTTTATAAAGCAAGTAAATAGTTGAGACAGTAAGCACTTTGTGGGCGCTTGGCCAGTATCTACTAAAAAGTAAGTATTAATCAAAATAGTATTTAGGCATCTAAATGCAGATAATGTTATTTAGTGCAGGCACAATACCAGGAGAACCACCATCTTCTAGAAATAAAGATTACATACACTTAAACGTTTATATGTCCAAGAACCACTTACATCAAAATCAGCTGGGAAGGCATCAGAATCAGCTGGGAAATACTGTCAAATACAGATTTTTCCAGCCCCACCCTGGAGGTAGGGCCAAGGAATCCCTATTTTGAAAAAGGCTCCCCAGATGATGTGCAGGCAAGTTTGAGAACTCCTATTGTAGACAGTAGACTAAAAACGTAAGAATAGTTGGTGACTAAATTGTAAATTATATGCTTTAAGTATCTTGTCATTTACTTACATCATAATTTCCTAGATCAGTGATACTCAGAGGAGCTCACTCTGTAATATTGCCCTTTATGAAATACATAATAATTGTATGACTGTAACTTCACGGTCATTTTCTAGCCCAGTGCCTTGTATATAATGAGTGTTTGATTAAAGCTTGAGAAATGAATTAGAATTGTGTAAGTGTGAGAACTACTGTCTTAGAGAGGCAGGAAATTCGGTGTACATAATCCTAGTAACTTTAGTGCTAAGCATTTTTGTTGGCAGAAATGTACTACTCTTTCTAAGGTGTTATCATATATCTTCTCAACCATTGTATATGATTTATTCATTTTAGGTTATTTGCAAATAAGCGTATTTAGATTTCATCTTTATATACAGAGTTTTACAAAACAATGACAATTGGACTATTTTTTTTATTGAATTGGTGCAGATTTATCTTCCACATGCTGAAAACTAGCTCTCCTATTCCTCCTCCTCTGCCTTTTGGAAACTCTTGGAACTTAAAATCAATTCAGGGAGAGGCCTCTTGGAGAGGCAATGTGGTAGCGTAGGAAGGAGCCAGAGCTTTGGAGAAGACCTGAATTTAAATTCCAGCTCCGTGTTTAATAGTTGGGTTTAAGCTATTTGAATCCCATTTGTCTTATCATAAAATGAGAAAAATAATAGTTATTTCACACTGTATATATAGGACTATATAGTGGCCCTGGTACCTAGTAGTCATTCTATAAAAATTAATTGCTTTTTCCCTTATCTTTTGTAAAGTCACTTAGTAGATACTTAGATCTACTGTGGCATTATTGAAAGTGTTTGTTTTCTCTTTTCATTTCCTTTTAAAAATTAGTTTTCGATTATTTATAAAAATGATCGACCTGTTGCCGTTGAGTTGATTTCGACTCATAGCAACCCTGTGGGACAGAGTAGAACTGACCCGTAGGGTTTCCAAGGAGCAGCTGGTGGATTCAAACTGCTGACCTTTTGGTTAGCAGCTGTAGCACTTAACCACTGTGCCACCGGGGCTCCCAGTAATTTATAGCTTTACCTAAAGAATTCCGTTTCTGGCAAAATGTTACTATTATATTTATTTTAGCAGTCTGAGAGGTTCTAAATGTATTTTACGTGCGTAAAAATTCTGAATCAGTACTAGGAGGATGCAAGTAATCAGCTTTTTCAGGTAGAATTTTTTTTATGTACTGTACTGCATTCTGATGCCAAGCAAATTTAAAGAAGTTTATGCGTATAAAATCTATCTCCTACTTCCAGGGCTGTCTTTCTGTTTCAGATAAGAATTTAAAAGATATTTGAAAGGCAGTGCATTTCTGATAATCTTTTATTTTGATTTTTTTTTCTTTAGCAATCATGGTGAATTTAATTCAGATGGTGCGTGACCACTGGGTTCATATACTTGTCCCTGTGGGATTTGTTGTTGGATGTTATCTGGACAGACGAAATGATGAAAAACTAACTGCTTTCCGGAACAAGAGTATGTTATTTAAAAGGTTAGTTCCTGCATTTTTTAAAGAAGCAGTTGACCAAATTTTGGGGGTATTCTTCTTGATATCATATGTGCCAGAAATAAACAGAAGGGATAATTTTCCTGCTTGAGTACTTAACATTCAAGTGATAACTACTTTTTAGTCTTGTTTGTTATCTGTCCTTGGATACAGCTGTATGATTACCTCTGGAAGATAGTTTTCAGTTTATGAGCAGGTGGTTTCAAATCTTTGAAAGTCCCATTTTTTGGAATGTATTTCACCAAAGAAACAAAATTTTAAACCGCTCTCTAAAGCCTACCCTATATACTGCTTTCACATATATTACCACGTACGATCTTACTTAAGCCAGGATGTAGCTGAAATGTTGTTGTTGTTAGGTGCTGTTCAGTTGATTTTTTTGACTCATAGTGACCCAATGTGACAAAGCAGAACTGCCCCGTGGGGTTTTCTATGCTGTAATCTTTACAGGAGCAGATTGCCAGGACTATTCTCCTGTGGAGCGGTTGCGTGGGTTCGAACCTCAACCTTTCAGTTAGCAGCTGAGCCCTTAACCATTGCACCACCAGGGCTCCTTGTCGCTGAAATAGATAGTATTAATAGTGCCATAAGGAGCCTTAGGGGTACAACAGTTCAGAGCTCAGCTGCTAACCAAAAAGTTGGCAGTTCAAACCCACCTAGCAGCTCTGCAGGAGAAAGACCTGGCGATCTGCTTCCATAAAGATTACAGCCAAGTGCTGTGTTCTTCGCAAGAGCGCTTTAAAGAGATAGGGTGGTTAAGTAATAAAACAGCAATTGGCAACCGCCTGGCCTCATTGTCTCTCTAAAGACATCTTCTCTGGCAGCAGAGAGTTAAGAGTTAGCTAGACAGGGTATCTGCCAGTACTGATACACGCTGGGATGTATATATAGGGATGTATACAGGGAGCAAAAGACTTGAGCTTCAGCCGCAGTTGATATGTAGAGGTGGTTCACACGTCAGGGATTTCAAGAAAGGTAAAACGAGCTAGAACGCTTGCAGAAAACATTAAATGAAATCATTGGAAGGATAGTAGCGTTTGTATAAAGCTAGACTAAGAAATTATGGTTTTTTAATCTGGAAAAATGCAGTTGAAGATATAGTAAAATCATGAGAGAATAGAATGAATATGTTGAATCTCATGTAAAGTTTTAAAAATGGGTCATCCTAATAGAATATAGAATAATGAATCGATATTCTTTTGACCTTCCCTTTTATCTCTTTATAAAGGTTTTATTTATTCTTTCTCCTTTCTTTTTTTTTTTCCCCACACAGGGAATTGAAACCCAGTGAAGAAGTTACCTGGAAGTAAAAGCTATGGCTAAATTATAGAATGTTCATATTTTAAATACATGAGACAAATAAAAACATGTTTATTATTTGAAGAATTTGAAGTGTGATTCTTTTTATGCTAAAGTAATTTTCAAATTTCAAGTAACAAGCACATTTTAAAATCCATTCATTTAAAATGCAATTACTGCATACCTAATTGTGTACATTGGTGTTAAATTAACAATTAGCATTTAATTTTTTCTTTCTCATTTTGGACTATGGTACTATTAAATGAAATGGTCAATTTCTTTTTCCTTCAGGTACTTACAGTCCCAGTGACTGGTGTATAGAAACACTATTTGTTGAATGAAAGAAAACCTGGTGAGATCTGCATTTTGGAAAGATCACTAATAGAGCTACGACTCAAGTGTATGGAGATTGGAGTCAGAAGGCCAATTCAGAGATCCTTAGACTGGACTACACAAGACGCTAAGAGGGCTTGGACTAAGCAATAGCCATGAAGACAAATGGGAGAGGCAAGAACACAGCATTTGAGGACTGACTGGAATAAGGGGTGACGTGGAAAGAATCAAGAATGATTCCCAGAAAGCTGGTGTCTTAGTCATCTAGTGCTGCTACAACAGAAATACCACAAGTGGACGGCTTTAACAAAGAGAAATTTATTTCTTCACGGTAAGGTAGGCTGAAAGTGCAAATTCAGGGCGTCAGCCCCAGGGGAAGTCTTTCTCTGTTGGCGTTCTCATCAGCGTTCCCCTGGACTAGGAGTTTCTCGGCGCAGCAACCCCAGTCCAAAGGATGCGCTCTGCTCCCGGCACTGCTTTCTTGATGGTATGAGGTCCCCAACTCTATGCTTGCTTCCCTTTCCTTTTATCTCTTGAGAGAGAAAAGGTGGCGCAGGCCACACCCCAGGGAAACTCCCTTTACATTGGATCAGGGATGTGACCTGGGTAAAGGTGGTGTTACAATCTCACCCTAATCCTCTTTAACATAAAATTGCAATCACAAAATGGGGGCCAACCACAGAATTCTGGGAATCATGGCCCAGCCAAATTGATAACACACATTTCTGGGGAACGTAATTCAAATCATGACAGCTGGCTTCATTAATTCATTCAACAGACATCAAACGAGACACAAATAAGACAGACCTGCCATCAAGATATTTATATGGTATTGGTAGAGATGTATGATTAAACCAAACTTTATGATACTGTGTGAAAGGTACTACGTATAATAGAAGCATGTACAGGAGCTCAGAGGAGGGACCAACCCACTGCCGTGAAGTCGATTCCGACTTGGAGGTCTAAATTATTCAGAGGTCAAGGAAGGCTTTCCTGGAAAGTGTGATCACTGAATTTTGAAGGATGATATGACCCTTCTTTCAAAGTGAGAGTTTAGGACATGCTGAATTTCAAGTGGAGTCAATCAGAATAGGGAAAGCAACAAATCTAATCCCCAAATCATACATGGTGTCAGTGGCAAAGTCAAAATTAGAACTTGCATTCTGACTCCCAGGCATTGATCTTTTTTACTTTATGATGTTTATCATTAATCACACTTGGGCAGGTCAATGAAATTATTAGCATTAATTCATATTTAGTGCGTTTTGGCTAAGCACTGTTCTAGGTGCTGAGAACTCAAAGGTGAACAAACCAATAAGGTCCTTTGGGGATTTACATCCTTGTAAACAATTATTAGAAGCCCTGGTGGTGCAGTGGTTAAGCACTCAGCTGCTAACCAGAAGGTTGGCAGTTCAAACCCACCAGCCACTCAGGAGGAGTGGCAGTCCGCTTCCTCAAAGTTTACAGCCTTGAAAAGCCTATGGGGCAGTTCCCCTCTGTCCTGCAGGGTTGCTATGAGTTGGAATCGACTCTACAGCAACAGGTTTGGTGTTTTGGTTTTAAGCAATTAATCACATATCATTGTTTTCTAAATAAATAATATAGTTTAAAGATCTGGAATAAAATTGCATACAGTGCAAAGCCTCCCTTCCACTCTGTCCCACTCATTTGCCTAGTTCCGTTCCCATCTCAACCTCTGGGTTCCCCGTATATTCTTTCAGAGATTTGTAATGTATAACCGGTAACCAGTTGCCATGGAGTCAATTCTGACTCACAGTGAGGTGACCCCATGTGTTTCAGAGTAGAACTGTGCTCCATGGGGTTTTCAGTGACTGGTTTTTCAGAAGTAGATCACCAAGCCTTTCTTTAGAGTTCTGGGTAAACTCAAATCTCGAACCTTTCATTAGCAACTGAGCATGTTAACCGTTCGCACCACCCAGGGACTCCTTTGTAATGTATCTACGTGAAAAAATAAATACATATTTCCTCACATGAACACACTTTTTAAAACAGAAAAAGTGGGTTGCATCTTTTTTTTCCCACCATATGAGAACTGTGATTTGTTTTCCCATTAGGCCACAGTTCATAAAGAGCAGGGACTGTTTTTTCAAAACAGTATGGTGAACTGTGTGCACAGAGATGTTCAATAAATGGTAACTGCAGTCTCCATTTCCATACTTCCCGCCATCCCTTCTGCTCCCCTGAACCTGCATCGCCGAAGTCACCAATGGTCTCCATAGCAACAAAACCTAGTGGGCTCTTATAAACCCTTATGTTAGCTGACCTCTTGGCACCGCTCTCTTCTGTGGCCAGAGTGCTCTCTGTAAAATGCAAATCTGAGCATGCCTCTTCTTTTAAAAACTAGCTCCCCCACTGCCTTTAAGAAGTACACGTTCCTTAACCTGGCTTCAAGGTGCAAGAGCTGCTATTTTACCCCTTCTGCTTCATCTATCCTCCCCATCCCCTCCACCACATACACACTTTACTGGGCTTTTCAGTTCCTCCAAATGATGCTTTCCTCTTTAGGGCCAGAGCACCAACACCAGAATAAGCTGCCTGAATTTGAACCCTCTCATGGCAACCTACAAGTGACCTTGGACTCATGCTGTTCTTAACCTTTCTGTGCCTCCATCTCCTTCCTTATGTGTAAAATACAGATAACAGTAATACCTAAATCTACAGGCAGATTATCCAATAGGCAAGGTAAGTATGGTGCTTACCTTGCTTACCAGATCATCTGTAGTGAATAATTTCAATTTTTCACCACATCAAAGATTCTTCTTCTACATATGGCTGGCATCTGTCCCTCCCTCAACCCCACAGCACCTTCCTACAGAATCAAAGCCTCTTTTCAGATTTATAATCCCCGACAGGGATGGATTACCCAATAAACAAGGTAAGCACACACTGACTTGTGTTTTCTTAGGTTTACTTGCTAATCTGTAGTGAACGGTTTCACATGGATTTCACCACAAAGATTTGGTGATGTGGAGACGAAGATGTGAAATCCATGTGAAACCGTTCACTACGGATGAGTAAGGAAGCACAAGTAATCTCGTGCTTACTTTGTTTATGCGGTAATCCGCCCTTGCCTACATCAAAGGTTGCTGTATTAAGAATCACTAATATATGCAAGGAGCCCTAGTGGCACCTTTTGGTTAGCGGCCGAGCTCTTAACCACTTTGCCACCAGGGCTCTAGCCCTTAGGAAGTACTGTATAAATATTTGTACACCAGTGCAAGGTATTGGGAGATACAATGATGCCTTTTTCTCAATTAGGCTTTCAGTGGGAGAGGGGGAGAAGATATTATTATCGGAGGTGTGATAAGTGGGAAGTCCAAAGTAAAGTGGAAAGAAAAAAGATGGAATTCTGGTGGTGCTCATCGCAATCTGGGGAAACCCAAGAATCCACAGCAATGGGTGAGAAGCGGAAAAGATCCTCCAGACGGCAGGGGGAGCTGCAGCAACCCTCAGCCGGTCGGCTGTCAGGAGATGGGAGGACACGCTACAAAGGTCACGTGCCCTTGCGTTTACCGCCCCGGCTTTCACTTGCTCTTCGCTCCAGGTGACTCGCATCCTCGAGGGTGATTGGTCTGGGCGAGGCACGAGGGCAGGGGCGGGGCAAGGCGGGGTGGGGCGGGGAAGGCGGAGGGGTAGGGGGCGGGGGACGGATCCGGAGGGGGGTGGTTCGGTGCGGGGGCCGTTGGCTCCAGACAAATAAACATGGAGTCCATCTTCCACGAGAAAGTGAGTATCCGCGTTCGGTGGGGAACTGTCTGCAGCGCGGTGGCGGACGAGGAGTGCGGTATCGCCGCCTCCCGGAGGGCTGGGTGGGGCCTGAGTCGCCCCCATCCCGGTCTCTCTGGGCGACGCGGGCGCTGCTCGAGCCTCCCGCCTTCTCGGCCCTGCGAGGGGAGCTTCACCACCGCCCCCATCGGATCCTCTGCCCCAAAGGCCCCTCCCAGAGGAGCCGGGTCGGGACGCCTGGAGATTCGGGAGAGAGTGAGGGCAGGGCCAGGGGGCGCCTCGGGATACGGGAGGGGTGGGAGGCGGCACCGAGTGGGTCAGCTTTTGCGTTTCTCCGCTACTTTCCGTAGCCTTTTCGGAGAAACCCTTCTCCATTTCCTTCTCTCGTCCTCCTCCCAGATTGTAGCCGGAGTCACCTCTCGGAAACCTCCCCTAGCCCTTCCCAACTCCCTCCCTTTCCCCACGCCCATCCTTGGCGGAATTAACTTTTCCTTCGCTGCACTCCTCAGTTCTATATTGGAATCTCCTATACAATTAGATCTTTGAGATTGTGTGCTGTCTTCCTCCCGCACTAGGTCCGTGAGCCTCTCCAGGGCGGGACCTCGGCTCGCCCATTTGTAGGGTCTGACACTTACGGGAGAGAAGGAGGAAATCTCATGTGCCCTTAAGCAGGGAAGTAAGTCGTCACAAGAGTTTCTGTTACGAGATGTTTGAGGTTGGTTTCTTTCGCTGTTCTCATCTTTCCACATCAGGAGGCCAGCTTTGTTATTAGGTATTAGCGGTGGACTGGAATAATTTTGTTGGTGTGGTCCGCTGAGCCTGTTCTTGCTTTGATTTTTCAGTGGTCTTGTACTTGAAGATACTGTTATGTGGAGAAGCTTGTCTTTTCTCACATAAAATTATCAAGCCATTGGGGGTGAATGAAACTATCCTGAGGACAACTTTGGCAGATAATATCTTGTTTCATAATGGTTTCATGTTTGGTAAGGGTTGCTGTGAGGCTG